TGCTGCCTCCCTGCAGCCTGAAGCTCCCCTTCTCAACAAAGGCTGAGAAACTGCTCCAGAGAAAGGCCGCAGAGACGTGACAAAGCTGGATCACGGATGGGGGGATAAAGGAGCACTGCTGGCAAGTGTGAATCTGGACTATATGAAAGCACGTGTTACAGACCGGAGTATGTGCCCTCCAACCCGCCTAATTCAGATGCTGTGCTGCTTTTTTTTTTTTTTTAAGAGAGATTTTTGCTATAGGGCACATGCACTCACCAGAGAGACAGGAAATCACACACGCACACACCCCAGGGGCGATGGCTGCACTGCAATCCCTTCTCCATTCTCCTCCAGGGATTTTGGGCACACACGCACATGAGGCTGGGGTGTTTTAAGCCTCCAGGTCTGGGACTCGAACCACAGTTGGCCATGTGGAAGTCTAGCAATGTAACCATTGTGCTGCCTGCTGGTCCTCAGGTACTTTGGTTCTAACCACCAGCACCTCAGAATGTGATCACGCTTGGAGGCAAAAGCTGTGAAGAGGTAATTAAAGTGGAGGAGCAGGTGGTGTGGTGGTTAAGGGTGCTGGACTCCTACATGGCCGACTGCGGTTCAAGTCCCAACCTGGCGACTTGCTTTCTCGCTTTCTCTCTCTCTGTGTCCGTCTTGTCAAATTAAAACAAATAAGGTTAGAAATGAGGTAGTTAAATTAAAATGAGATCTCTAGGGTGGATCCTAACCTGATCCGACCACACCTGAGCTGAGCAGTGCCCAGCGCCAATGCCTGCACTCACACACAGGAAAGACCAGGTGAGGACACAGCTGACAAGGCAGTTATCTCAAGCCAAGGCAAGAGGCCTCGGACAGACCAAGCCTGCTTACACCTCGATCGTGGGCTTCTAGCCCCCAAAACTGTGAGAAAAAGCACCTGCGGTTAAACCTTCCATCTGTGGACCCGTGTTCTGGCACGGGAGCCACACACAGCAGCACATCTACAACAGAGCAGCACACCCGCGACACAGTGGCACGTCCGCAGTACGCTTCTGTGGACAGAGATCGTTCTCTGCCTTTCTGAGATACTGTCCTTGTTCTCTCTTTTTTTTTTTTTTTTTTTAAATCATTTTGATTAGGGACCAGCAGTTGAGTTGTTGGCTATGTCGCTGGACTCCCATGTAGTCGACCACGGTTCGCGTCTCGGACCCAGTGGCTTAAAACTCATGCCAGGCGCGTGTGCGTGCGTGCCCAAGATCCCGAGAGGAGAATGGAGGAGAAGAGATTGCCGCGTGGCCATCCCCCCTGGGGGGTGATTTCTCACTTTCTGTCTCTCTGTCTCTGTCTGTCTGGCGAGCGCACGCGCCCTATAGCAAAAACCTCTCAAAACAAAAAGAATTATTGTGTTTATTTATTTATTATTATTCTTTAATTAGACCAAAGAGAGAGACAGAGAGAGGGAGAAAGTGAGAAAGCAAGCCACAAGGTCCAGGACTCAAACCATGGTTGGCCATGTGGGAGTTCAGTACTTTAACCTCCATGTCACCTGCTGGCCCCACTGTCCTCATTCTTAGGTGGTTCCCCAGGATAGTTTGGGGCCCAGGGTCATGACAGCTGCAGCTTACTCCTGTGGAGCATCAACAGTGACAACTGAGATGAGGCAAACGTGTAGCCACATGGAGGTGCCATGGGTGAGGCAAACACCTTACAGTGTGCGAAGTCGAGGTGAGGGAGAATGGGCCTCATTACATTAGTCTTGCATCTTGTGTCTGACCTTTTTCAAAATTAAGTTCAAAAAATTATCCGTCTATGAGAGAGAACTAGAACAGAAGAAAGGCAAGGAACAAGGTTTTTCTTGTGGGGGGAGGCAGGGTCTCCCATGTTGCTGTCCTCCTGGCCTCCAAGTTAGCTAGGACCATGGGTGGCCCCACCCTGCCTGTCCTCTTTGGTTTAGGCCCCAGCTGAGCTCAGGCCTCCCCACGTAGCCTCAGCCACCACTCAGTGATGAACTTCCACTGTGCCACTGCCGCTGCGCCCAAAGGCTTTTGAAAAGATTCCCTTTCTCTTATTTGAGGTGGGAATAGAGAGGGTTTTGTTTTTGTTCTTTTTGATTTTTTCTTTTTTTTTGAAAAGGCAATCCATCATAGGATCCAGCACCTACAACGCTCACCGCTCTCCACTCACCAGCATCTCTCAGGCAAGAACAGAGGAAGACAATGAGCTGTTTGGCCGGGGAGCAGCATGGCTGGGAGTGACGGGTCCTACCTGCCTGATGGAAGAACAAGGTCCAGGTGCAGGGCCTCTGGAGAGAAGAGGGACCTCCAGCTGCTGAGTCTGAGGGTCGTGCCCCTCCTCCTTGATCCCCCAATCCCTGGATCCCCCAGCTCCTCTCCAGAGCGGGAGAGCATGGGGGAGAGGAGGCAGAGCTGGCACATCTAGTGAACAGGACACTGCTCCTGCCAGGGAGACTTCCAAGAACTGCACTCTTGAGTAAGGAGGAAAGTTCCCCTGCAACCAGGAAAAGGCTGCAGGGCGTGGCCTGAGTAGGGGCAGGATTAGAATGTTGTTGGGGCCACTTCACTGTTCAGCTCTTCCATCACTGGTACAGACCATTACATGACCCACTATGGGGACTTCACCCATAAAATGCATTCTCAATGTTTTTGTCAAAAAGAAAAACATTCAGATCTAAAGACCCCTACAGCCACTAAGCAGCTGAGGGTCAAAGGCTCATGTCAAAGGTCGCACAGCCAGTAAAAGGCAAAGTAAGAGACTCAGAGTAGGGAAAACCCCTGCCCAGAGTCAAAGGGCCAAAGGAGGGGCTGTGGCCACTCGGCCTGTGGCCCAAGTACCCTGGCCACACGTCCACCTGCCCCAAGTGTCCAGCACTCTCCATCTGCCCTTTCCTGGAGGTTCTGGCTACATCCTCCTGCTCCCAGGGAGAAGGAGCCATCCCTCAGGATGGAGAAGGTGACACTGCTGAGCCTCACACCCACAGGACAACGCCCATCAGCCCTGCCCAGGCTGATCCCACCACACTGGCCATCAGCATGTGCCCCACCCCTCTGCACTCCCCTCTGATCCCTAGAACATGAACCCTCTCCCTCCCACCCTCTTGCTCTCTTCTCTCTATTCTGTCTCTAACCAGCCCATTCTCCCTACATCCCAAACACACACCCTCCTTCCCTTAACCCAGTCTAAATTCCCTAAAAATCCACCAGCCTTCCAACTCTCTAAGTAGAGCCTCAGGTGGGCTGGAGACAGAGGCTGGCCTAGCCTGGGTGGATGTGTAAGTAGGAGGAACTTGGGTTTAGTAGTCAGACCTAGAGCCCTTAGAAATATCTGTAACTGGGACCAGCAGATGGTGTAAAGTTTACATCGCTGGACTCCCACATAGTCGACTTACCACAGTTTGAGTCTCAGATCCAATGGCTTAAAAAACTCACTCTAGGGACCAGCAGTTGGCGTAATTGCTATGTCGCTGGACTCCCATGTAGTCGACCATGGTTTGAGTCCTGGACCTGGCTTAAACTCATGCTGGGCATGTGTGCATGCGTGCCCAAGATACTGAGAGAAGAATGGAGGAGAAAAGGGATTGTGGTATGGCATCCCTCCTGGGGGGTGATTTCTCACTTTCTCTGTTTCTCCGGCAAGGGGATGTGCCCTATGGCAAAAATCTCTTTAAAAAAAAAAAGAAAGAACGAACGAATGAACAGTAACTAATGGAGTGTCAGCCCCACAGTGCAGTGGTTAGGAGAGCTGGATTCCACATGGCTGACCATGGTTGAATCCAGGCCCTAGTGGCTTAAAAAACATGCAGGGTGTATGTGCATGTGTGCCCCAAATCCTGAAAAAAATAGAGAAATTGCAAAGGGATTGTGGAAATGACCATACCCTGTTGGGGGGAGGATTCTTACTCTCTCCCTCTTTGTCAAGCCAAAGAGCAAGCACAGTGCCCTCTGGCCAAAGAAGAAACAAAAACAACTAATCTAAGGTCATATTATAGATATGAAAACTAAATGCCAAAAAAAAAATAATGATTTTTTTGTGACCTGATATCAGACCCTTTCTTTTCAGATAGCATGATCAGCATTCTACCTCTGCCAGGCAGTATTACCATTTAAGAGGGTTTAGGAATCATTTCTTTTCCTCCAAAGGCTAAATTCTTCTTTTTAAAATCTCTGTGAGTCATCCAAACCGGGTTTGATGGTAATATTACCCTTTTCCCAGAGGACAGCTCTAGTTATTTCAAAGTCTTCATAATACATGAAAATTGCCTTTCCTGAAACTTCTTTACTTTTTTAATTGACAAAGGGTTTGTGTGCTTGCCAGAGAGATAGGAGAGGGCCAGTGGGTATGTGCTGTGATCCCCTCTCCTCTAGTTCTTCATTCTGTCAGGACTCGGGGCAAGCATACGCATGAGCCTGGCATGTTTTTCAAGTCACCGGTGCCAGAATTTGAACCACGATTGGCCATGTAGGATCTGGCTCCTTTAGCCACTTGGCTATAGAACCGACCCTCCTGAACTTTCTCCATATTGACCCATTCATGCTCACTAAACCCAAAGACAGCTACCACTTTTCTATGTCTTAAATATTTGTTATCAACTTTCATCTCTTCTCCAAGTATCCTCTTTTCAAGTTAATGTGAGTTCATTGGAATTTGGTTTATGGTTCTGCTAAACTGAAAGGCTAAGAAGAGCTTAGCAGCTCTTTTATACTGTATATACCCCACTATCAGGACTTAACCTCAGAAAATGCACTCCAGGGACCAGCAGTTGGCGTAATGGCTATGTCACTGAACTTCCATGTAGTCGACTGCAGTTCGAGTCCCGGACCCGGTGGCTTATACTCATGCTGGGCACGTGTGCGTGCGTGCCCAAGATCCCGAGAGGAGAATGAAGGAGAAGGGATTGCGGTGTGGCCACCCCCCCTGGGGGTGATTTCTCGCTTTCTGTCTCTATGTCTCTGTCTGTCTGGCGAGCACATGCGCCCTATAGCAAAAACCTCTCCAAAAAGAAAAAAAGAAAATGAACTCCAATGGAACCAGCAGATGGTGTGATGGTTAGGTCACTGGACTCTCACGTAGTTGACTATGGTTCTAGTCCCAGGCTCAGTGGTTTAAACTCACACCAGGCACGTGTGCATGTGTACCCAAGATCCCAAGAGGAGAATATAGGAGAAGGGATTGCAGTATGGCCATCTCTCCGGGGTGTGATTTCTCACTTTCTGTCTCTGTCTCTCCAGCAAGCGCATGTACCCTATACCAGAAATCTCTAAAAAAAGAAAAAGAAATAAAGAAATAAAATGCACTCCAAATAAATGTTTTTGTTTTAAAAAAATAGACCTTAAAACCACCAAGAGGTTGAAGGTCAGAGAGGTTCATGCCTAAGGTCACACAACCAGTAAACAGCAAAGCAGGAGGCTGAGAAGGGAAGTGTCACATGGTGTAGCGCACCACGTCACACAAACTGGATTCTCAGTTTAGGCTGAAATGGCACTGGGGAGGCACTAAAAAGTGTGACGTGGGGGACCAGCAAGTGGCAGGTGGTTATATCGCTGGACAACTCCACATGGCTGACCACAGTTCAAGTCCTGGACCTGGTGGCTTGCTTTCTCACTCCCCCTACCCCCAGGTGTGTGTGTATGTGTGTGTATATCTCTGATCAAATTAAAATGAATGAATAAATAAGATGAAATAATTCTAAAAAATGTGTGACACGTCTACCCCAATTCCTCGCTTTGCCTGCCACATTGAAGGGAGTAACAGGGATGTCCAAACCTGATAACTCCAGACAAGCCGGCCCCCTGGGGCAGTGATGGGCAGACTCGCCATGTGCTAATCTTGGCCATGGGAGCTCATCTAAGAGACTGTCTACCTTGGGGCAGAAAAGGGCTTTATCGGTGCCACCTCTGCCATCGCTCCTGGCACTATGACCAGAGCACATCACTCCCAGCCACTCCAAGAGACTCGAGGACCTTGAATACCGAGACTTGATACCTTCATCCTAGCCTCTGCCCGTCATTGTCCTCAGATCCTTCATGGGACCTCCAGGAACAGATCAGACCCACTCTCTCCCTTCAAGGAAAGATTCTTGGACATCTGGGGACCCACGACTGGCTTGCAGTGATCAGCTCACGTGAGCTGTTCCCATTCCCCGGTCTGATGGCTTTGCCATGCTAATTTGACGCTACACTATAAAGTCTGACATTGTAGGATGATACAAATGTGTCCGGGATCTTCTTCCCTCACTCATGACACATGACAAGTAGCAGAATTAGGACAGAACCCAGGATCTACAATTCAGTCCACTGCTTCATCTGCCACGTTACCAACCAAATCAGAAACCAGAATACACTAAGTTAAATGTGCAACTCAGGGTTACCTGGTAGCACAGCTGTAAAATGTGACACTCCCTGAGGCAAACCCAGTGGGAAGGTTAGGGGACCTCTTTGCAGGTTCGTGTCATTGATTGGAGCTGGCTGAAAAGAGGAGAGGGATTGCTGCGTGGGGACACAGTGGTCTCTCTGTCTTTCTTGTTCATGGAAGAAATAAATATATTTGCTTTGTTTTGACTTAATTGTTAGAGGGCACACGTGCTTGCCAGAGACAAAGAGAAAGCGCCCCTCCTCCCAAGGGGGCATGATCATGCCACAATCCCTCCTCCCTTTCTCCACCCTTTCGGGATTTTTGAGCACACACATGTACCAATGTGGTTTTCAAGCCACCATGGCTGGGATTAGAACCACATTTAGCTATATGGGATCAGCTTCCTTTATGGGCCGGCTCCTACATTTTAAAAAATACACAAATTTCAAAATAAATTTCAAAATAAACGTGCAACTCGCCTCGCCCTCCCACTGCTGACTCCTTGCCAGCTCTATCTGTTCTCTTTCCCACAGCTCTTATTAGAACTTAACCCCCCTTGGTCCGGCAAGTGGTGTGGTGTTGAAGGGCGCTGGACTCCCACATGGCTGACCACGATTCAAGTTTCAATCCTGGTGGCTTGCTTTCTCACTTTTCTTTTACTCTCTCACTCCCTCTGTCTCTCTCTGGTTGAATTAAAATAAGTAAATAAATAGTTAAAAATCATTCTTAAAAAAAGGAAAAGTAACTTAACCCCCCCTGTGGGGCCAGAAGGTGGCATGATGGTTAATGGCACTGAACTCCCACAGGGCTGACGGTGGTTTGAGTCCCGGACCTGGTGGCTTGCTTTCTCACTTTCCCTATCTCTGTCTCTCTCTGGTCAAATTAAAATAAATAAATAAAGTTAAATAAAATAATTCTTTAATTTAAAAAAAAAAAAAAGAACTTAAGCCCCCTAGATAGGAATCTTTTGTCTGTCACTCACTGACTTATTTAAATCTCCTGGACCAGTGCCTGCTTCAGACAGTAAGTGCTCAGTAAGTATCTGCTGAATAAATAAACTGGTTCAACAAGCATTTATTGAATACTTACTATGGCTGGACTGTGAACAGTATCACTTAGCTGGATCCCAAATAGACCCAGGCATTACTGCTCTCTGAACCCTAAAATAAGCCACCCCTTCATCTGGTTCCAGGTAGGGGCTAGCAAGCCAACCCAAACCCGGACCAGATTTCCTGAAACAACCAAATTTCCAAACAAAACTAAAACATAAGACTCATCCTGGAATTCCTGGAGCCTCCTGGAGCAGGAGTCTCACCCACTCCCCCAAAAGCCCAGCTGGACTCCACCCAACCACCCAGTGCCAGATCTACAGCTGCTGCTTTTCTCTAAATGAGACTCCCATAGCCCACATGTGGGTATCACTGGGCACTCTGGTGTCAGGAGGAGGGTATGGGGGGCAGCTCATGCACACCAGCTGCTCCTCCCCAGGGCTTCAGGTGAGGAGACTAAGAGTCCAGAAATGCCCCTGGGCCTCCTGGCCCTTGCCTTCGTGGTATGCAGAACACCCTGGCAGGAACCCTGCTGGAAGCAAATTCTGTGTGAGCACTGCACGTCAAATCCCTGGGTTCCTGCAGGCCGCCCAAGAAGCCTTCCCTTCAGCCCATAGGAACAAAAATGTCAGATGCATCTGGACGGGGGTGAGCCAGTTTGCGGAGGGCAAGACTCACTTTTAACGTATGGCTTTGGCCAAACCCAAAAGCTGTTCCAAGAAGTCTTGAGTCTACTCTTTCTCCCAGCGCAAGCAAGAGAACGATCCGAAGAGACTGCTCCAGAGCAAAGCAAGCATTCTAGAAATGTAGCCTTACTTCAGAATGGTCTTCCAGAAGAGGGAACCAAAAATAGTCTCCATCAGCCCCTCCCCCCAGCCGATGGCCTCAATGAGCCGCTGCAGCAGCACTTACTGAACCCGCGGTGTGGGTACTGGGCAAACCGGCCTGCTGCTGATCCCGCTCCACCTGCTAGCTGTGCAGCTGGAGCCACGGACTGCCTCTCTGAGCTTTGGAATTCTCATTCGTAAAGAAATCACGATAATAACTGAAACGATTAGTAGGATTGTTGGGGGAGTGCTGAGCCCAGTGCTTGCCGCACAGTAGGCGCTTAGAGAGAGGTAGGTCTTTCAAAGGAGAGGACATGCCCACGTTGAAAAACGAAAAGCTATGACTTGGGGGGAGGCTAGAAGTCCCACAAACCATTGTTTACACGTTTACTTATTTCCTAAGCGTTTGCTGGTACTGTCTTTCAAATAAACTTTACCCTCAGAGCACGCTGGAGTGGCAGCGGTGCAGGGCAGAGCGACAGGCCTCCGACAAAGGGCGGCTGCGAGCCCCCAGGAGCCCTCTGGCCCCAAACCCTCCCGAGTGGCTTCAAAACATCCGACGCGCCCCTCCTCTGGGAGAAGAGGCTGGAGGCCACCATTAGCGGGACAGTCGGCGCCGGGACTTCAAACTCACCACCACTAAGAAGTGGTCATCTTTTGTCCCTAAAGAAAAATATGCACGTCAGGGCCCAGAAGCCCACGGAAATAGAAGGCAGCGCCGAGACGCCACGCGCATGCTTCCAACGCTGGGTCAGGCCCTGACAGAAATCGAAGAGATGGGCGGTGCCTGCTCCGGAGAAGCCACAGCTTCCGAGGGGCTGGAAGTGGGGCGCCAGGGCTCCTGAGGCCTCCCTGGGCACCGCCAGACGAAGGGAGAAGGGCAGCGGCGGCCAGAGGTCCCGGGCTCCCCTCACCTGGCCACCGCGTTCAGCGCATCAGGCAGGGCCAGGCCCCTCCGGCCCTGTTATTTTAATTTGACCAGAGACAGAGAGAGCAGGAGTGAGAAAGCAAGCCTCCAGGTCTGGGACCCGAAATGCAGTTGGGCATGTGGGTGTCCAGTGCCTTTACTGCCACACCATTGAACTACCAGCCCCTAAATCACATCTGAAATTGATGAGATTAGTAGAAGATAAAGTGCTGAGGACGTGGAAAAACAGATCGGATATTGCTGATACAATGTTAACTGGTTCAACTCTTCTGGATAAAAATTTGGTAAGATTTCTTGAAGTTGGGGCCGGCGCCACCATGCCGGTCACCGGGAAGACTTTTCGCCGGCGCAGGGCCGACTCCGATTCGGAGGAAGATGAGCAGGACTCAGAGGAGGTTCGGTGAGTGTGGGGCGGGGCTCCTAGGGGTCTGGGAGAGAAAGACTAGCTTGGGGGACTCACCACGGGCCAGGCGCCCCGCTGGGAGCCAGGGTTGTTATCCCGCGGCCAAATAAATCGAGGCTCCTGGGAATGAGGCCGCCACCCCAAGGCCGCACGATTGGAGGGAGTATCCCGGAGACTTGCAGCGGATCTGACTCCCGGCGGGAGGTCTAGGCGCGGGGTCGCCCTCTAGACCACTGTGCTGGCCATTTAGCAGCGGGACAGGGGTGCTCTCCAAGCTGCCTTTGGCTTTGGGTTTCACACAGGGTCTTTCAAGTGCATTGCCCTTTTCCAGATTAAAACTGGAAGAGACCCGAGAGGTGCAGAACTTGAGGAAGAGACCCAATGGGGTGAGGTGAGTACTGCAGGGAGGAGGTGGAGAGACACGCCCCCACCTGGGTTGCTGTCACAAATATCTCCCCAGACATGGCCCCGTTTCTTGACATGGTACGCCTTCCAGTGCCCAGAAAGGGGACTAGCCTTCTTTGACAACGTTTAAGCAGGGAATATCTGAGCCATGAGTTTTAGGGTCTACTCCAGAGACACAGAAACAAGTCACTAACTCACGTTTTCATTGCACCTTATTCATTGTAAAATGCACATTAAATGTTTGAAAAATTTAGGGAAAAATGTAATGAAGAGAATAAATAGCACCCAGAATTCTCCTTTCCAGGCTATTTATTTATTTATTTATTATTTATTTATTTATTTGGAGAGGATTTTTGCTATAGGGTGCATGTGCTCGCCAGAGAGAGAGAGAGACAGAAAGCGAGAAATCATCCCCCGGGGGATGGCCACACCACAATCCCTTCTCGATTCTCCTCTCGGGATCTTGGGCACGCACGCACACGCGCCCAGTGTGAGTTTAAACCACCAGGTCTGGGACTCAAACCGCAGTCGACTATGTGGGAGTCCAGCGACATAGCCATTATGGTAACTGCTGGTTCCTGGTTCTTCTTATTTTTAAAGAATGTGTGATAAGGTGTGTGTGCTTGCCAGGGTGAGGTGGGGGAGGATATTGAGAATGCACTATCCAGGAGAGATGGCCATGCGGTCCCTTCTCTATTCTCCTCTTGAGATTTAGGGCACACATGCACACCCATGTTCTGTGTGTGCTTTTCAGACCACTGGACCTGGAACTCAAACTGCCATGTAGTTAGCCATGTGGGACCCAGCCATCTTAACCACCATGCCACCAGATAGCCTTAGTTCTTCTATGTGTTTCTTCTCTTTCTTTTTATAAAGATTGTGAGCATCTTTATACATTTATGTTGTTTTCAATTCTTATGACCTTGTGAACATTGTCCATGTTACCGAGTGTTTTTCAAGAAACCATTTTAGTGACTACATAATATCTCACTGGATGTATGGACTGTAATTTATTAACAAATTCCCTATTTTGTGACACATAGGTCATTTTGTACATTTTTACCATCAAATAGGCTACAGTATATATTCTCTTACATTGATCTTTAGCCTCATTTTCCCTGAAAGGAAAAATCTTAAAAATGAGATTACGAGGGACCAACAGTTAGCATAATGGCTATGTCGCTGGACTCCCACGTAGTCGACCACGGTTCGCGTCCCGGACCCACCCGGTGGCTTAAAACCCACACTGGGCGCATGTGCGTGCGTGCCCAAGATCCTGAGAAGAGAATGGAGGAGAAGGGATTGTGGCATGGCCATCCCCCCTGGGGGGGTGATTTCTCGCTTTCTATCTCTTTGTCTCTCTCTGTCTGTCTGGTGAGCGCACGCGCCCTATAGCAAAAACTTCTCCAAAAAAAAAATGAGATTACCAGACCAAGATAATGCCAAGTGGCTTTACAGAAAAGTGTACACCTCGTTCACCACCAGTTCCTGCCCCCTGCATCTATAGTCTCGTTGAGCCCTGTTTTATTCTTGTAGGTTTTTCCAGCTAGTTCTCATGCCCACCCCTCAAGTCTCGCCCTGGCATTAATGTTGCAATCTACAAATCTCCTTAGTGCTCCTTTTCATCTTTGAATTGTGCTATTTCTTTCCCTCCTGCCCCTGCTTCCTTTTTTGGTTTCACTCAGTGCCGTGGCCCTGCTGGTGGGAGAGAAGGTACAAGAAGAGACCACTCTAGTGGTAAGTTGTGTTCTTCAAGGGCAGTGGGAAGATGTGGCTGGTCCCTTGGGGGTGAATGGATTTTCTTAAAAGAAAATAAAAATTCCACTGCCAGTCCTATAGAAGCTTCTTTTAAGCTGTGTTTGCTTTCTGTAGGATGATCCCTTTCAGATGAAGACAGGTGGTATGGTGGACATGAAGAAGCTGAAAGAACGGGGTAAAGATAAGTAAGTATGCGACATGCTGAGAGGCAAGTTCACCTCTTACCCTCGTCCGGGTCTTTGTGCTCTGAGAGAGCTGGGGCCCGCAGCAGCAGCAGACTTTTTGCTTTGCAAAGAGTATGTTGTATACAAACAAAAGAAAACAAAGCCTCTTTAAAAATGATCTTACAAGGAGTAAGTAGACTCCTTTTGTAAAAATGCATTGTTTATAATCTTTCAAACCTATGTGGAAGTTTTGTATAAAAGCACAATTACAAAACTAATAACTTCAAACAGTAAAAAAGTTTTAAAAAGTAAAGTATCCACTTGTGACTCAGAGATATACCCAAGGTAACAGTTTGCTTGCATAAATTCTAGAGTTTCATATATATTTATTTTTTTCTGATCCATAATAAGGATATTATACTTTTTCATTGTGCCTTTGTTTTATTCTTGTAACATAAAACAGCCTCACTGAGTTGTGACTTTAAAGTTCTGCCTCATTGGCCTCTTTCTGTTCAGGATTAGTGAAGAGGAGTAAGTTGTGTTCTTCAAGGGCAGTGGGAAGATGTGGCTGCTCCTTAGGGGATAACTGCATTTTCTTAAAAGAAAATAAAAATTCCACTGCCAGTCCTATAGAAGCTTCTTTTAAGCTGTGTTTGCTTTCTGTAGGATGATCCCTTTCAGATGAAGACAGGTGGTATGGTGGACATGAAGAAGCTGAAAGAACGGGGTAAAGATAAGTAAGTATGCGACATGCTGAGAGGCAAGTTCACCTCTTACCCTCGTCCGGGTCTTTGTGCTCTGAGAGAGCTGGGGCCCGCAGCAGCAGCAGACTTTTTGCTTTGCAAAGAGTATGTTGTATACAAACAAAAGAAAACAAAGCCTCTTTAAAAATGATCTTACAAGGAGTAAGTAGACTCCTTTTGTAAAAATGCATTGTTTATAATCTTTCAAACCTATGTGGAAGTTTTGTATAAAAGCACAATTACAAAACTAATAACTTCAAACAGTAAAAAAGTTTTAAAAAGTAAAGTATCCACTTGTGACTCAGAGATATACCCAAGGTAACAGTTTGCTTGCATAAATTCTAGAGTTTCATATATATTTATTTTTTTCTGATCCATAATAAGGATATTATACTTTTTCATTGTGCCTTTGTTTTATTCTTGTAACATAAAACAGCCTCACTGAGTTGTGACTTTAAAGTTCTGCCTCATTGGCCTCTTTCTGTTCAGGATTAGTGAAGAGGAGGACCTCCACTTAGGGACGTCATTTTCTGCAGAAACCAACCGAAGGGATGAGGATGCAGACATGTAAGTGTCAGTCTGTTTGTCTTTGAATGATTGGGGCTGGGCCACAGTCACATAGAGTCCAAGATATTTAGTCACAGATGCACTTAGGGACATCATTTTCTGCAGAAACCAACCGAAAGGATGAGGATCCAGATATGTAAGTGTCAGTCTATTTGGCTGTGAATGATTGGGACTGGGCCATAGTCGCATAGAGTCCAAGATATTTAGTCACAGATGATGTTTCTAGAATTTTCTAGAAGACATCAGAGTTGGTCCCCCTCTCACTCCACACTTGAGAACTTTGAAAACTTCTTTTTTTAAAAAAAGAATTATTTTCTTTTCTTCCTTTCTTTCTTTCTTTGTTTTAATTTGACCAGAGAGGGACAGAGAGAGAGAGGGAAAGTGAGAAAGCAAACTACGAGGTCCAGGACTCAAACCGTGGTTGGCCCTGTGGTATTCCAGCATCTTCAACCACCACACCACCTGCCAACCTCGAGAACTTTGAAAATACCTTAAAAGTTCTTCTAAAGGGTGGTCTGCAGGAACAAATATGAACTTGCCCATTTTTTATTTTGCCAACAAGGCATCTTTCTTCTTTAAACTCTATATTGTAGATTTATAGGATGTAATCTTATAATACAGGTTGGTGCTTTAGTTGAAAATCTCTAACTTGATAAGAATTTTAGCTATTTTTATTTTTCTAATTTCTCATGGACTGATGAAGATTTCCTGATGGGCCATCACCAGACTGAGGGCCAGTGTTGGTGACCATGAATATAGAAGTCACCCATCACAGTCTTCCTGTCCCTCCCTATGGCTCTGGGTTTCTCATTTCAGGATGAAGTACATTGAGACAGAACTAAAGAAGAGAAAAGGGATCGTGGAACATGAGGAGCAGAAAGTGAAGCCGAAGAATGCAGAGGACTGTCTTTATGAACTTCCAGAAAATATTCGCGTTTCCTCAGCCAAGAAGACCGAAGAGATGCTTTCTAACCAGATGCTGAGCGGCATCCCTGAGGTGGACCTCGGCATTGAGTAAGAACTCACTGCTTCTCAGTCAAAAGTTACTAGACCCAGGCCAGCCCTGTAGCTTAATGGTTAAGGGAGCTGGAGCCCATGTGGCCCACAGTAGTTCAAATCCTGGTCCTAGCAGCTTGAAAAATGCCAGGCATGTACACATGCATGCCCCAGATCCTGACAGGATGGAGAAAGAGAGGAGGAAGGATCGCTGTGTGACCATACCCCATTGGGGGGGATACTTTCTCCTCTCCCTCTCTCTCGTCTCTCTGTTTCTCTCTAGCAAGTGCAGGTGTCCTCTGGTAATTCAAATCAAAATAAAAGGCGGGGCCATTCCTTACTTGTCTCCATGGAAACCCACAAACATAAACTGTATTTTCTCTGGCAGGTTGTCCACACATGTTTGTCTTGTGCTTGGTCATAGTAGTTGAGAAGACTTAGGCACCAGTCACTAAAAGCAAAAGTGGTTTTATAGCCTTTGTTCACAGCTCTTCAGCTGGTCTTTATTCTTCTGTTTTCTTCTTGCAGGAGCCATGTTAAAGGCTCACCCATCCCCTCTCCCCATCATCCTCCTTTCATTTCAGCTAAAAAATATCTGATTGAAAAGGGCATTAAAGGGGGGCCAGTAGGTGGCATGGTAGTTAAGAGCACTGGACTCCCACATAACCTATTGCAGTTTAAGTCCTAGATCTGGCAGCTTGCCTGGCAGCTTGCTTTCTCACTCCCCCCAACTCTCTCCCTCTCTAGTCAAATAAAAATAAATAAATACATAAATAAAATAAATGAAGTTCGGGACCAGCAGTTAGCGTAATGGCTATGTTGCTGGATTCCCATGTAGTGACTGTGGTTCGAGTCCCAGACCCAGTGGCTTAAACTCACGTCGGGCGCATGTGTGTGCATGCCCAAGATCCTGAGAGGAGAATGGAGGAGAAGGGATTGTGGCGTGACCATCCCCCCTGGGGGGTGATTTTTTGCTTTCTGTCTCTCTGTTTCTCTGGCGAGCACATGCACCCTATAGCAAAAACCTCTCCAAAAATAAATAAATAAATAAAGTTCAATAAAATAATTCTCTTTTATAAGTTTTTTTTAAGAATTATTTTACTTATTCACTCATTTTATTTTAATTTGACCAGAGAGAGAGAGACACACACACAGAGAGAGAGAGAGAGAAAGAGGGAAAGTGAGAAAGTAAGCCACCAGGTCCGGTACTCGAACTGTGGTTGGCCATGTGGGAGTGTCCAGTGCCTTAACCACCATGCCACCCGCTGGTCCCCAGTAAAATAATTCTTTAAAAAATTTCTTTAAAAAAAAAAGGGCATTATAAGGACTAGCAGATGACGTTATGGTTACATTGCTCAGCTCCCGTATAGTCGACCATAGTTCGAGTCTCGGACCCAGTGGCTTAAAATTCACACCAGGTGCATGTGCGTGCATGCCCAAGATCCCAAGAGGAGACTGGAGGAGAAGGGATTGCGGCATGGTCATACCCCCCTGGGTGGTGTTTTCTCGCTTTCTGTTTCTCTGTCTCTCTCAGACGAGCTTACGCGCCCTACAGCAAAAGCCTTTTTTAAAAAAAAAAAAAAAAAAAAGACCAAGAAGTGGGGCATTATCAGTGGTAGAGTGCAGTGCTCTGTAAGGCGGACCCAAATGGGGAGGTTCAGGTTTGTGTCTGGAGACCTCCCTGAGTATACCTGGCACGTTCAATGCCATGATCCAGAGCTGGCTGAGGTTGGAGGTAGATCGCAGCATTGAGACTCCACTGGGGCTGCACACATGCACGCTATGTCTCATTCAGGGAAGAAATAAGTCAGCTCTTTTTTTCCTAATTTACCAGAGGGTGCATGTACTTGCTGGGGAGTGACAAAAGAAAAGGGAAGTGAGAAAGCATCCCCCATGAGGATGGTCATGCTGCAATCCCATCTCCTTTGCTCCTTTTGGAATTTGGCATGCACACACACACATATGAGGCCCAGGACAGGTGATTTCATTGTGCAGGGGTGGGTTGCCAACCTCGGCAGTCCATTCTGAGAACCAGAGGTGCTGTGATCTAACGTGCAGTGTGGCTTCTTTCTCCTGTAGTGCAAAAATAAAAAATATCATCTCCACGGAGGATGCCAAGGCTCGCCTGCTGGCAGAGCAGCAGAACAAGAAGAAAGACAGCGAGACATCCTTCGTGCCTACCAACATGGCTGTGAATTACGTGCAGCACAACCGATGTGAGCATCTTGTGGGGGGACAGCCCTAGCCTGTGCCCCCACTCACTGGGCTGAGGTCCTGGGAACCCCAAATTCTTTTTTTTTTGGAACCCCAACTTCTGCCTGACCTGCCCCCGGTCTCCTTTCCAGTTTATCACGAGGAGCTCAATGCTCCCATTCGGAGAAACAAAGAAGAGCCTAAAGCCCGGCCCTTGAGAGTGGGTGACACAGAGAAGCCGGAGCCTGAACGTGAGTACAGAGGAGGCCTCAGAGCCACTCAGTAGTCAGTGCTCAGGGGGCCATGAAGACAGGTTAGGGCTGGCAGGGGCATAGCTGGGACCTTGGGCCAGGTCATCTGAGTTCCAGGCCTCAATTTCCTCCTCTACAAAATGGGGATAGGAATAAAAACTACCTCTTGGAGCTGCTCTGAAGATTCATGGGCTATCAAAGAGTAGACGTAAGGTCAGCAAGTGGCATAGTGGGAAAGGTGCTGGATTCCCACATGGCTGGCTGCAGTTCAAGTCTGGGACCTGATGGCTTATTTTGTTACTTTCCCTCTCTCTCTCTCTCTCTCTCATAAGTGCATGTGCCTCATAGCAAATTTAAAATAATAATAATAATAATAATAATAATAAATAAAATAAATCTTTTTTTTTTTTTGAGAGGTTTTCGCTATAGGGCGAGGGAGCTCACCAGACAGACAGAGACGTAGAGACAGAAAGCAAGAAATCAC